AAGTATTGTCGTCGGAGACCGCGACAAAGGCTGAAATTACAATTTAAGCTCCGCGCTGGAACGCGCGGAAAAGTGTGTCCCGGGAGATAATTCGTGCTCGAGATAATAGCGTTTTCGTCCTGTTCCGCTTGTGAACAATGGCGCCTTTTAACGTGGATAAACAGATCAAGTGCCTTGCAAATTCTACGGTCTTAATGTGAATGATGAAAAAATTTTTCTACTAAGAGGAGTACCAACTTTATACGATAATTTATACTCATATTATTTATATTTGGATTAAAATAAAAACGGAGAATGAGAAAAAGAGAAAAAAGATAGATAGATGATAGATAAAGGTGATTTTTATTCTTATTCTGGGACAAGCCCTCTGAAAATATAGAAGTAAGTGAAAAAATATGGAAATAAAAAAAGAGTACAAAAATAAAAATATACAAACTGCAAAAATAATACAAACAAAATATAAAAAATAAAGTATAAAAGCTTTAAACTATATAAAAGCAAAGAAAGAAAACAAAGGATAACATAGTGAATAGATGGATGTAAATAAAAAGTCGAAGAAAGAGAGAAAGAGAGATAAAGGAGAGAGAAAAAGAGAAAAATTTGTATTATTATTTTAGAACAAGCCCTTTAAGAATATAACACTTTGTAAGTAAAAAGAAGACTAAAGGAACAAAAATATAATAAAAACCAAAAACAATATAAATAAATCACAAATATTTTTATATTATATTGGAAAAGTTTGTAAACTACGTAAAAGTAAAGAAAAAACAAAGGATAATACAATAAGTAGCGGATATGAATAAAATGAAAGAAAGAAAAAGAAAGAGAGAGAGAGAGAGAGAGAGAGAGAGAGAGAGAGAGAGAGAGAAATAATTATTAAATTCCTGCTTATTAAATTTATCGCTACACCAGACTTCACATGTACCTTCACGTTTCGATAAATACGATACTTGTGCGAGATTCTTGTGCGCGATAGGTCCGTGGATTTTGAATATCACATTAGCGCGAAGTATTTCGCGAATCTAATTCCGAAGCCACGAAACGGCACAGCTTCGCGAATGCCGTTAGCAGAACTCTATTCATTAGCAATGAGGAAAGTGGATTAAGTGCATTGACTGTCTCGAACTTATAAAGGACACTGTCTCGGTGTAATACGCGCAACAGAATTCTATTTCGGATACGGAGAATGCCATTGTTGGCCAAATTATTTCAATACGAGTTATACGTCATTTTGTTATACTTATCCGCCAAATATATAAACGAATTATAAAGAAGGAATTCCCCGTTAAATTGCGAAAGCGTTCGGTTTCACGTAAATAAGTCCCTCTCTCTATATATATTTTAATTCGTCCACTTTCGTACAAAGTTAACGCTCGCGGGCGGTAAAAGTTGACGTTTCTACCAGCGTTTCTACATACGTGACTTTAATAGCTTTTAGTTTCGCTGCCTTCCAGCCCAAGGTGTAACAATATTATCTTTGCATGTCATTTCAATTGGCACGGTCACGTGTAGTTTAAAACGATAGGAATTTGGTCGCTTAGCGGTTCCCTACCGTTGTCCTACCGTTAATTAGTTTCGCGCTTCGGACAGAATTAAATGTCAAATTACAAATCAACCGACTTAAAGCCGAACGCCTAGAGAATTGACGAGAGACAAGATCGGAATCACACTCGATTGCTCAAATTGAAATTTACATAAATGTAAAACTAGTAATAAACATTTCGTTTCCTTACTTCAAAAATGACAATTTAAAAAATGTGATTTTCGAATTATTATTATGAATGAGTTTATATTGAGTTAAATAAATATTATCCTAACAATCATCAAAAGTGAACTAACTTAAAAGAAGTAATTCCATTTTCGATTAAAACAGATCTTAGTGCTTAAAATTCGCTTTAATCGAAAATATAATTCACTTGATTTATATATTCTTGTCGGTCTAACTTTGAATTATAATTGTGAAATTGTTAACCTTATTGTTAATCTTATAAAAAATCGTCAAAATTTACTCTTAAAATTACAACTCAAAAAAGGGAGATTTTTTTAAGTTAAGAATGAAACGAAAATGACAAAAATGACATGTGATCATATGAATGTACGTTTTTTGCCAATATTATTCGATTAGTCAATAATTTTTTGTTAAGTTAAAAAATAGTTTCCCCTTTTCTAAAACTTATTTTTTTGCGTTGTGTCACTTTGGAAGTAAGAGAGCGATTTTTCCAATGACGTTCTAATTTTATCGTGTATATTGTATGAGTATATGGATTATATAATAATAAATAACATTGATTGCGAATGTGGAGCCAATTGCGATATCAATACGACATATGATTCCATCAATCAGTGGTTCGCGATCTCAAAAAGCATGAAGGCGTATTTTTAATTAATTTCCTGCCTCTGTATCGACAGCCAAGAGCTTCGTGTTTGCATTTCCGCTGCTTTGGATATATAAGAGGCGCGCTGGCAAATATTTGCGCAAACGTTGATGAAAATATGTGGCATTTGAATAAGGTGGCTGGCGAGAAAGACAAGCGCGTCGGCGCGTCGCGTTGCATCGCTCTTGTAATAACGAAATATTGCCGGAACGACATTGTCCGGCTAAAATTTAATATATAACATTCCCGGTCTGCTATTCGCACTTGATTACCAAATTTTTTTTTTCGTCAATTTCATGCTCGCTATTTAAGTTTTCACGAGATTGCAAACGAAACAAGGATAATAATGTACGAAAAACACCAATTAATATCAATAAAAAATACATACATGCAATAATTTGTATAAGATATTAATTATACATTAAAAACAGTTTTGCTGAAGTATTTAAAAATTTATCTACACATATATAGATCCGAAGATAATTTTGATAGATTATTAAAATACAATTATATGTTAAATTATTAAATTATTAGATTGGATTATTTTGTTGGATTATATTAAGCGTTGACGACAAGGCTGCAGAAAGTTTTGACATTCTAGTAATCAATTTGAATAATTACATAATTTTACATAATTATTTTGATTGTCCAGACAAAATTATTTTGAGATTTGTATTTAGCTAAATTTTTACTCGAGGAAAACAGTTTTTTGGTATAGTATTAAATGATTTCTCCGTGGAAAAGTGTAGATATAAGTAGCAATTGGAATGCATCCGAGTGCGTCGACAGTTATTTTAGTTGAAAAGAATAGTTTTGTTGAAGTATCCAAAAATTTAGTTATACAGATCTACGCTGAAAAAAATTTCTGGTTGAAAATGGACGAATCAGAAATTTCTCTCTCTCTCTCTCTCTCTCTCTCTCTCTCTCTCTCTCTCTCTGGTTAAATTTATTAGAATTCTAGTTGAGATAACCGGAATTCTGGTTGATACTATATTTCTAGTAAAATCTACTACAATTCTTATTTTTACCAGAATAATTATATTAATCAGAATTCTAGTTATCTTAACTAGAATTCTAATAGACATAACCAGAAAATTCTGATTCGTCCATTTTCCACCAGAATTACTGTTTAATCCAACCAGATCATTTTTCTCAGTGTAAAAATAATTTTATTGGACTATCAAAATAATTATATTATATATAAAACGCTTAATCGATCACAAGACTATAGAAAGTTTTAACGTTTTAGCAATCAGTTTGAATATTTTACATATTATTTTGATGGACCACACAAAATTATTTTCAGATTTGTATTTAGCTAAATTTTTAGATACTCGAGCAAAACTATTCTTTTCATATGATAATGTTAAATGGATTCTCCATGGAAAAGTATAAGTTACGCACCGGAATGCGTCCGAACCCGTCGACATTTGTACTTATCTCGCTGCGTCACAGTGAGGTTTACAGAAGACGAAAGCCGTACGATAATCCACGTAGAGTCCCACAGATCTCGTGGATTTACATGGCTGTTAGCACTTTTCATCCTTAAGAGAGGCACGGCGATATGGTCTCGCCGGTGGTACTCCGAGGGCGACGGCACGGTGTTTGTCTTCGTTTCATCGTCGTTGCATAATCATCGCTCGAGAGGACGTCTGATCCTCTCTTTCTTTCTCGTTCTGCTGTAATCTCACTCTCGCTCGCTCGCCTTCGCGGCGCAAGGCGCAACGTACTCCTCCCGCGATACATCCGGAAACGGAATGGAAAACGGAAAGAAGACAAACAGCGGTTGCCTAGGGCGGATGATTAATTTCCCCGAGCGCGCACTCGCGCGCCCAGGTTCGTCGGGAAAACTGGAAGCTGCATATTTTATATGCGCGTTAACTCGTCGTGTGACGAACTTAATTTCCAGCGAATTTCATTATGCCTTTCGTTTATTAGGCTCTCTTTAATGCGACGGCCACCGCACCGACGCGACGACCGTCGGGGACTTTTGATGACGTTAATCTCGGCTGCAAGCGGAAACGCGAATGACTCTCGGGAGCGGTCGTGATGTCTTTCAGTCATGATTTGTGCTCCCATATGAAAGGGATATAACAAAAATATCCATAATAAAAACGGAAGAAACGAGTATAGAGGAGAAAACAGTATTATGTAGATATACTAGCCAATGTAGATATACTGGTCAGCAATTTGTGAGATTAATTCTACTTGACTTAAATCTTAATCGGTATTCGCAGATTTAGTGAACCTGGAATTTTCTTCAACTACGTCGTGAATAATTATTTGTAACAAATATTTTTCACAGTTTTACATCATTTTAAATTACGCAATCTTATTCTTCGACCTTCAAAATGAGAAAAATTCTTTCAATCGTGTTAACTTTTTAAGCAAAGATACAATAAGTACAATAAAGTACATTGGACCCGCGAATATCAGTTAAGGAAACTTCAGAGCGAATATCGATTAGGATTAATAGTGTTAATACTCTCATAAATAATTAATTTTTAAGTACGCAATTTTTTTTCTCTCTCCTGAAAATTTTGTACTTTTAACTTATGTTATTTTTCCTGCGGGAGTGCGATGTATTTTCAATGTATTGAAATATAATTTTATGTGTACTTAAATATAACGCGTATTTAATTGAAAATTTTAATAACCCGGATTAGGGGATTAACGAAAGCTTGCACCTGAATAGAACTGCACACCTGATGTATTTACACAGTCAAATTCAGAACTTTCTATTTATGTATCTTTTGAAACTTTATCGATGCTATTAACAACTGTATCGTTCTCGTACCGCGAGAGAGATAACGTCAGGTAGTGAACGAAACAGCTTCGCTCCGTGTTTATTAGCATCGTTACTTTTTACTGACGCGGATAAAAGTAGCTTCCGTGAAAAGTACATCGAACTTTATATCTTGAGTCACAAAAAAAAACGAATCATATGTGTTCTATCCATATTTTTCTGTAATGCATCCATATTTGCTTTACATTTATATCTACTCTTGGCGCTCCTAAATAATATTTTATCAATTATTACTAACAAGGAGAATATATTTCACAATAAATATTTTTATAATTTACGTATAAAACGCTGTCTATTTATATTCACGTATTTTTCTCTTTGCATTTATACCACAGACAGTTTTGATATATAATTTGGTCTTTGGTTTGAACCGCCCGAGTGGAAATATCATTTAAATAACATACGTGACAAGATGCGCGGAAATAACTGCTCAATATCAGTTTAGCTTATGCGAATCATCGTATTTTCGCTATACAGTTTATTTTCGCGAGCGTAGGTTGTAATTTTATTTATATATAAATAAAAATTATCACTAATGATGCAAGCTGAACTGTTAACCTATGATCGATTGCGTTAGCGTTATTGATAATGGTAAGTATATCTTCCGGTGGTTCGCCGACAAACACGTTGTTCGTCGATTCCATCGATTCGTTCATCAGTTTCTCCCAAAATTTCATTCTGTTAGGCAGGAAATCGGTTTGCACCACAGTTTCCGGCGATCTGTCAATCCCGAACCTCATGAACTGATGATTGCGGTAGTTGGGCCATGTGGGGATCATCCATGCTTTCGGGATTCTGTACATATGAAATAAACATTACGATCGGTAAGAATATCCGGTCGTCGCTGTATAGAACAGAATTTCCTAGCGATTTAGTATTCCTATCGGATTTGAAAGACGGATCATGCAATGCGATGCCGGAAATAGAATGGTAATTGGACGTAATATACTCGAAGAACTTTCGTTTTTGAAAAATTACAATCGAAATAATTATCTTATTAATCTTATTAATCTTTTAGTAATAAGAGTTATGAGTAACCATATTATATAATGCTATTAATTTTATTTACCCATGTATCACGAAACTTGTCCACATCTCTGTTATGATGTTAATCATAGTAATATCGCTCTGCGTATTGTGCAATAGCATATTTTTATACATATTATTCAATATAGGAAATAAGTAGTTTAATTCGTCGCCATGTGCAACAGCTGAGGGAATAAATTATTAATTATTAAAATTCACATAAATGTCTGCTTAATGTTCGATTGCGGAAGATAGTCGATATAATTATAATTCATGATGAAGGATCTTTCGGATTCTTCTTTTTCATATTGTTTTTTTCAACATAAACATTTTTATTGTTACGTTTAACGTATTTAGAAGCAGTAAGTATTTGAAATCAAGAAGAAAAATATTATCATGTCAAAACCAGTACTTTTAATTATTTATTATCTTTATTGACTGAAGAAACAGAAAATAAAGTTTAAACTTCGAGAGATCTTTTATGTATCTTATTATACGCGTTAATCTCAACTTTAATCCTGTTATAAAATAAAAATTATTATTTACTTGTATTAAAATCTGTCCTATACACACAATTTTGATATTGAATTTTTAATATATCCGCGTGTTAACGTAACATAATGTGATTGTGTTATTTGAATATTGAATATTCTGTATTAAATTAATATTCAACCATTCTTACAATTAGTGTTAAAATAATGGAATTTATAAATAAATGAACAAATAATATAAAAATAATACAGTTTCAAAATGTAAATTCTAAAATAAATAATAACAGATAATAAACGCACACATTAATTTAATATATTATAAATGTTAATTTTACTGAAGAAGTGTGCTTTTACAATTTGCTTCCAAATTATGTTAAAGTAATTTTGTGTTAATTTTTTACATAATATTTGTGTATCTTCTAACATATTCATCTTGTGTTAAATTAACACAAAAATTTGGATGGACTGTTTGGGATATATGAACTGTGTTAAATTTAACATAAATTTCCCAACTGCGTACGTGGAAATGGTTTTAATAGTGTACGGATAACGTACCATAAGAAACGGGGACGCCTGAAGAGAAGGTGTTCGAAAATGTGCCTACGTACGCGAAGAGGGAAAAGTAAATGCTGGCGTTTCCTAGATTCGACTGATATTGTACAGTTTGAATTACCGGCCATTTTATAGCATCACTCATCACCTAAAAAAATAATCTCGTTGTCAAACATTATTCACGTATTCATCCTAGAACTCACCTCTGTAATATTATCCATAAGACCCATCATCACATTTCCGTTAAAATAAAAATCTTGTATTGCAGAAGCGAAAACGGTAGTGTTGGAAATCGCTTCGTGTAAATCCATAAAGTAAGGCAAATATTCTTCGAAATTCTTCATTAATTCATCCTCGGCGTCGGGATCTATGACTAAATCTGAAATGAATGGGTACGGATATCGTCAAAGTTTTTTTTCTCCGTATTGAAGTTTAGTTAAAAATTTAGAAATTTTTTCATTGAAACGAATATCAAGTGACTAATGACTGCTCCGCTAAAATTTTAACTTTAGTTGATATAAAGTTAATTAATGTAATAATAATAATAATTGTAACTATATTTCTTCCATCTCGGAAAATTATCCGACGCCGTTAATTAATTTGCACGATAACTTAATTAATATTATTACAAGAAGTAATAACGGAAAAGTCCGCTATTACTTGCAAAAGTACCGAGTGTCTTCACTAAACCCTCGTCCTTCGTGACTTGTATTATCGCCGGTATATCGCGAAACAGTCCGGCCTTTAATATTTTTATTGGATGCACAGTCATAATGGCGTCCTCTGAGTCATCTTCCAATGTAGGACCAAAGTTACTCCACGGATGTGACCTCCAAATACTCTAACATAAAATAATACAAAACTATTCTTATTAGGTAACATATCAATATTTCTATAATAGGATTCTATTAACGGTACTTACGAAAGAATGCGTCATCGCTTCTAATCTCTTCGCATCAACTGTTCTCATGCATTTCATTATCTCTTCGTCGTTTTTTACTTTATAACCCGGGTATAAAATGTCTTCTGTGGTCGGATCGAAGATAAGTGTTTCATTCGGCGTAATTACGTCATCGTCTTTTTTCAATAGGCAGCCAACAAGTTTTGCCAATTTCAGACATACTTCTCTATATCTTTTTGGAAGGTGAATATTGTATGGATTTAAAATGGAACTCCCTAGTAAAATGTATCTGTGAAAGAGTCCCTCGGTCTTCTTTGAGAGAGCAAGAACATGAGTCGCCGCTGCACCGGAACTGTGTCCCATAAGGGTCACCGATTCAGGATTCCCGTCGAAGCTGTGAATATTCTTTTGTACCCATTCGAGAGCCATTTTTATATCTTTAAGACCGTAATTACCTGGCGCGACTTGGTTCGTTGTACTGAAAAACCCTAAGTGATTCGAACTCGTCGCGTTATAAATTGTAATAAGATTTATTATTTCTTAATACACAGAAAAATCGGTTTTACTGAAGTATCTAAAAATTTAGCTAGATACAAATTTGAAAATTTTATTGAACTAAACTGTTCGACAAAAAATGATTTTTTTGAACACTGGAACAGGACTAATTATTTTTTTATAGTTTCTTAAGTACTGAATACGAATTCATTTTCGGAATTACTCTATCGTGTAAATTTTTAGAAATTTGCTGATAAATTGCAGTTAATTTACGAAAAAGACTATTTTCATGTATTTTGTCATTATAATTATATGTAGCATGCTCTGGAGAAGTTTCATTGCAATCTAAATTACATGTACAGCTAGGACTTGCAGTCTTTAAAAGGAAAATAATTTAATTAAACAATTAAAATAATTATATAGGAAATTCGAACATGATGAGCAATGCTGCAAAATGTTTTGACAATTCTAGCAATCAGCTCGAGTATTCTCACAATTAGTAGCATTGTTCGATAAAAAAAGCAATCAGGATGAAACTAGTCAGCTTTTGTAGTTTTTTGGACATTGAAATTCAAATTAATGAAAGACCTCTACATATAAATTTTTGTAGCAATTCAAACATTTTTCAAGTTTTGACATTCTCCAGTATTGAAGCCATCATTTCGAACTCGTCAATTTTGATACTGGATTCGTATTCAACGGTCTAAAAGCCTAAAAGTTTAAATAAATATAATTAAAAGCTATTATATTTAATAAATCGTTAATGATCTAATTTAACCGTGCATTTTATTAACTGTATAACCAATGCTAAAAAAATTTGTTTGAGGGCTGAAAGTCCGAATAATATATTTAATTTTGATTGCAACAAAACTTCTACAGCACATCACATATCATAGTTATAATATGACAAAATACGTGAAAATTTCTTTTGCAAATTTAAACAATTTGAAACCGGATTTGTATTAAGCAGTCAAAAGACTACAGGAAATGGTTACGCAAGAAATTCAAGCATGATGAGCAATGCTGCAAAAGGTGACATTCTAGCAATCAATTTGAGCATTCTACACAATTATTTCAATAACGCTGTTTAACAAAAAAAAGCACCAGAACGCAACACATAGTATTTAAATATATACTACAATATTGAAGATTTATAGCCTCGTAAACTGTACATTTCAGTACTGGCAATGTATACTTGGAACACGGCCTAATCATTTAATCGTTCTGGTGTTTTTTGTCAAACAGTGCTATTGAATAATTATGCAGAATGCTTAAATTAATTGTCAGAATGTTAGAATCTTTTACACTGCTCATCACGCTTGAAAATTCCCTACATAATTATTGATTTAACAAAATTATTTTCCGATCTATACCTAGTTAAATTTTTAGATATTTTAACAAAATTATTCTGTGTGCTTCAATTTGAGATAGATCTAACGCATTATTGTAATGAAAAAGTCACTGACAATTACGTTCGATAAATCTTTTCTCCTCACCTAAAGCAGAAAGTCGGTAATTCAGCGTGACAAGGATTATATCCTGCTCCAACAAATAATCCGGCGCATACAGATTGCTATCGCTACTTCCTGTCATATATGTACCCCCATGTACAAAGACTAAAACCGGTAGTTTCGTGGATTTTTGCCGGTCTAAAATCTATAAAGACTTTTAATATAAAATTACAGAATGACAAAAAAAATCATTACATATTTAAATAAACGTAGAAACGAAATATTTAATAATCATTGCGCTAAACGTTTAACGTAAAAAGTATCGCTTCAACAACGTAACCTTGATTCGTTTAAGTTTAGTTAAGCCTTGTTAGACCCGTGGTCTAATTGAGTTCATTCGCGTTTGTTCTTGAAACATTGTAATTTTCTATTTACTTTGCAATTTTTGGCAAAACTACAAAAATAGCGCGCAATGTTAACTATTTACGTGATTATGAGATATTGGTCCACTATTAGATTTTTATTGTTATTGCGCATTCTATTTATTATTATTATTGAGCGATAATATTTGTTGTGCAATGTATCACTCACATTGGGAACGAAGATGTTTAGATAAAGGCAATCCTCACTACCAACAATTCTGGAGTTTTTCCTATCAAGTTGAATGCATTTTTGCCCATCGACCGTAGCGTCGCGAATCTTTGTCCACGTGTGATTCCACCGTTGCGGGCTCTGACAAAATATTATATAATCCAACTATATTGCTAATTAATATCGCGTTCACACGGAATGTAAACTATGAATGTGATTTACGTTTTCTTATTCACATCAGTCAAGTAGTGTCATTTCTTGCCGAAAAGTGTGAATTTTCAACGAATTAGATGAGTCATGGATAAATGACTCGGCTTAATTTTGATACACAAAATTATAAATATTTATAAAAATAAAAAAAATAACAGAAAAACGGTTATAGATTAGACTAAATATTAAATATGCACTTCATTAGATGTAAAGTATTATTAAAAATCTGTTCGCTTTGCTTGCACTTTTTGCGTACCGCTAAATTTATAATGTTAAATTATATTTAATTTGAGTTATTTTTAATGATTTCTATAGGTCGCTATTATTTCTATCCAATGTGTCATTAATTAACTAAAACAATGGAGTTAATAAAATTAAAATAATTTAATTTAAGAAAATGTACTAAATTTGATTAAAATTTAATTAATTTATCAAGTATATACGTATATACGTACGTACGTAATATGGATGTTGTTTACTTTGAAACTACAGAAATGCATAAGTCACTTTCGTGGTTCACGCTCTGTGTGAATGCGGTATAATTCGGATTTGTTTCAGTTAAAAGTAAAATGTATATGTAAAATACATATTTATAATTTTGATTTTTATTTGCCTGAGATTGGACAAAAATTATCAATCTTCCAAAATCTTTACAAGTTTCACAGATGAATTGATCCTCACATATCATTAAAGGATACAAAGAATAAATTAAATTAAATTATACTCGCTCGTGTTCAAACAATATACGTACTCTGAATCTTAAATCGCCTATCGGGGGTAGAGCGTACGGTATGCCGAGAAAATTCGCGACTGACCGATCGCGTATGGTCCTGCTCCACTTGCCGCGAAAGAGGCCCCATTTCGTGTTGACGAGAAGTCGATTTTCGGAATCCATGAACAAACCGTTAACGAAAATGAGCAGGAACATGAAAACGCATATACATGGCCAAATCCTTTCGTTCAACCGAAGACGAAGCGACGACATGTTACACCGTGCGAGAGATTCACTTTATCCCGTATTTATCGCGAGGGATGTTGCGCATATCATATGCATAAAACGACTGAAATGCAGCACAACTTCACTTGCACAACCGCGAGCTGCTTTATCGCGGACCGCCACGTGATACGGACGCAATACGTTTAATTCGTATAAAAGTGACGAATTAAGCCGAGCTAGGGGACTTTACAATGTTGTTTAAGTATAAAATTTATGATAGATCAACACAAAGATAGATATCATAGAATGTTTTAACGTAAATGTTTAACTGAGAGCACAGTCATCAAATTGTGTAAAGAGTATTCGAGGACATTTAGAAAAATTAATTGCACATCATTACGTTTATATGCCGTTGTGAATGTATCGCGTGATAAATTTTGATAACGATTTGTATGTTGTATTTGTTTGTCACAAAGATGAGCTTAATTGCAAATGAAGTTAAGCCACTTTCAAACATATCTTTGTTGAGTATTAATTTTGACTTTAGAAATTATTAATATTTAGTGAAGATAAGCGTTAAACACATATGTTTTCTAAAACTTTTAGAGTGAAATTTTACTCTTAATAAAGATTGAAAATTTTTTTAAAGATTGTATCAATTTTCACTTTTTAGAGATTTTCCACTCTGAAGGATTTCGATAGTGAAGTCACCAATGTTATATTGTATAATTTATATAAATTCTTCAAATGCGAATTGATAAGATTGCCAATTTAACTTCACAAAATTAAAGCATACAGAATGGACCAACAAAATGTATTATAAATATAATACTAAAATGCGTAGGTATTTAATTTTTTTTTGCGTTTGTCTGTCGAAAAGTAGGAAAGTTTCGGTTTTTCATAGGAAGTGATTGAATATTCCGTCCTCGCCCCGCCGTCTTTACATCATTTATTCATCAGAAGGATCTCTATCAACCGTGACGTATTATTAAGCAAGGGGTAATGCGGCTTTTGGCGGAGCTTAGCTACATACTGTACATTATTATAGATGAGCAACTTAACCCGGGTTACTCGTAACCATTCCATTATTCAACACGTTACATTTTAGCTCTCCGCCACGGCACTACATACTTCACAATGTCAACAATCGCGCAAGGTTATTTGAAACTCGAAATGCAAACCATTTCGCAAGAGCTGTCGCAATGGTGGAATAAAGTAATAACTTAAAAAAGTACACACAAAAAATTGCAGCAAAAAATATAATGTAATGATGATGTCTTCGAAGTCCTTTTTAAGAATTTCGAAGATTCAACATAAACCTATCATTTTCCTAATTCTCTCATGTATATTAATATTTTCTTAAATTAAAAAAAAATATTTGTTAAATTATTTTATTTAATTTATTTAGCTTGATAATATTCTTCGTAATAAATTCTTTACAGTGTTTTATCATTATTATTAACTTTTAGTACACACGATAGATCATTCGTGTCTAGGATTAATTTCCATCACAAAAATTATTAAGCAATTCTTACATCTATGTAAATTTTTTTATTTACCTTGACATGTTTGAAAAATATTTATAGAGTTGTGTATTAAAAAAAAAAGAACTGGAGACCATTATTTAGGTCCTATAGACCTAAATAATGCTCCTAATATTCCAAACAAAAGAAATGCAATAACCCAATCATGTATAAAATGTTAAATTGGCGATCAATTGAATTTGTAATATTATTATTCCTACTTTAGTTTAGGATTGCATTTTCAAAACTAATTGTATTTGGCATGCAAATTGAAGAACTGGAAAATATATTCAAATGTTCACATAGAAGCATTGTTATAAACTAAAATTAAATCTTTATATTTGGCGCTTATTTACTTATTCGGTTTACTGATTTATTTAGTTTTAGAGTTAACAAGCATATTTTTCGAAGCTCTTGCCAGAGGAGAATTACCTTAAATGCCATCGCCGATTGTTTTCTCAAAACCCTGAAACGGAGAGACCTTTGAAAAGCGATCGTTCTTTATTTATCTCAAATCGAACGACCGTCTAATTCGGGTTTCACCGGCGCTCTTACCGCATCCCGTGGGTTTTCTTCTCCGGTTTTCTACGTCGACCGTCGCCGCCGCCACCGTTACCGCCAACGCCACTACCTCCGTTGCTGTGGCGGAGGATTCACTTCCGCCGGTGGGTTCAAGTCCTAACAATTTCCTGACAAGAGGGGCTTCCCCCGGGAGTTTCCGGTCCGTTTCCGCACGAAATCTCCATGGCACCTTCACTCGTTACGCGTCGTTTGCCGAGCCGTGTTTATCTCCTCGTCATTAGTTATGCCGTGTTACTTGGTCGCAGATTTCTGCTGATTACAGTCTTTTGCTCCCTCCCTATAATTACCGGCTTTTCTTTTTGTTTCGCTCTTAGATTTAGTGCAATAATTAGGACGATACAATCTTGATTATACGAATCGATTGAGAAGCACCATATTTGGATCTTTCAAATAATTGAGTAATTACATCCTAGTTCCAAAAGCGATCGAGCGATTTCTTATACAATCAATTTCGATACAATTTATTTTGCGCAATAAAAATTTAAGCATATAAATACACAGAAAGAACGATTTTGCTGAAATATCTAAAATTTTAGTTAGATACAGATCTGAAAATAATTTTGTTGGGCTATCAAAATAATTACGCAGAACTCTTATAATGGGTAATAATGCACAAAGTTTTGATATTCTAGCAATCGATTTGAACGCTTTACCGTCTAACCAAATTATTTTCAGATGTGTATTTAGCTAAATTTTTAGATACTGTATCATTAGATATTGTGTAGAAATCTGATTCATCGACTGACTATTTACGATAATCATGTATATCTAAGTAAAAGGTAACAAAAGACAACAATGCTATTATTACGTTATATTCCAACAAAGCGTAATAAAGTCATAAATTAAATGCAAAGAGACGTCCTATCATTTTAAATTATACTACTAAACATTCTATTATTTATTATTGCGAGCTTACTTCGTCTTTGTTACTTGTTATTAATTAATTAGTATGCATATAGCTTTGTTCGTGAGCTTGATAGTGCTAAATAATGGATAATGAGAAGCATGAGATATGAAATCACTAAATTGTTGAATCAGTTAATAAGCACGCTATTATATTGATAACGTAATGTTAAAATTAAAAGGGATATGATGAATACATATATACTTACACTTAGCGTTACTAGATAACGTTGTGCAAACATCACCAAATCAAAAGTAGCAATAAAAATAGCGCGAAGAAATTGATAATTTGATAATGACTGGCATGCCAAGAATGTTCTGACTTTTTATTATTATGCTTTTCCAGAAAATTTGAGAACTCATATGGTATTAAAACTCGCGTTTTGACGACTATAGAATATAAATCAATAATTTAATTATTACTGATATATAGCGATCTCGTGAGCAAGTGTTTATCGATATGTTTCTTCTTATCTTGTATGTTTGTAAAAAATTTACTTTTTAGAAAAGCGTTGAGATAAAGGAAATCAAACGGTTTTCCAAATTTGATAATAAAAGTTGTATCGAAAGAATAGTTTTGCTAATAGTATCTAAAAATTTAGCTAGCTATAAATCTGAGAATAATTTTCTTGGATTATAAAATAAATAATTATGTAAAACGCTTAAGCATTGACGATAGTGTTGCAAAAAGTTTTAATATTCTCTATTATAGATAGAAACTATTTTGAGCGTCTTACATAATTATTTTAATGGCATAAATATATTGTTTTCAGATATGTATTTAGCTAAATTTTTAGATACTTTGGCAAAATCGTTTTTTCTATATGTATTCATTATTAATGATTATAATTAATATTGATGTTCTTAAAGCATCTCATTGAATTAGTATTGATGTTCTTAAAGCATTAATTGAATCTTGAACAGAGAAAAGAGAAGTTTCTACAGAGGGAACGATTTTGCTGAAATATCTAAAAGTTCAGATAGATACAGAAAACTAAAAATAATTTTGTTAGACTATATCAAAATAATTAGGTAGAAAGCTCAGGTTGAGTGTTAGAATATCAAAATTTTTTGTAGCCATTACTCATTATGCTTGAGTTTCCTGCATAATTATTTTTGATGGTCCAACAAAATTATTTTTAGGTCTGTATCCAACTAAATTTTTAGATACTTCAGCAGAAGCGTCCTTCCCATGTACGTAATACAATCTAGCCTTGAATTAATTAAAATTAATTATATGATCTAGTTCTTTTTAACTTAATACAATTCGCTTTTGTTTACCTTTACGTTTCATTTATGTATGATCGTGCTTTATAAAATGTTAAAATTAAAAAATAATACCTATATATTATTAGCCTTCTATAATTGAATAAATTAATTTCCTTGAAATGTTAAAGGCAATAGAAAGCAAGGATTAATTCGGTATTTGTTCACGTAATGGCGGGCTTCGTGGCAAGAGGGAATCGAGTAGAACGTCAATATGATTTAATATCGGCTGTTTCCATGTCCACGTGCATGCAGGAGTACGTCGTGTTTGATTAAAGGCGGATGTTGCGCTGGATTATGCATTCGTCTATTTGTCACGTCGTGGACTAATTGCAGTGCGCGATGCAGTCACGACGGCAAGAACCGGCTGGAAATAGCGCAGGCCTTTGCATCGGCGGTGCGGACCAATTTCCCTCGTTCTTGACGATGTCGTTAAAGTTTGTTTGCGATTACTTTGTACTAATTTTCTCGGTTGGCGCACGTGTCCGAAGCAACATGTTACGCTTGCCCTATTAACATCGTCGGATGTAACAATTACTTCCTCCACGTACGCAATTACGAACTCCACTGAAAATCGTTTGTATGATTAATAATTGTGGTCGTTAAACGTTTTCATTGCATTGTCATTTCCATTCCTTTAAATCTGTAATTCTGTTTTAAAATTGAACGTCCTGTGTAAGCTGGAAGTGCTTTGTCAATACCGCGCTGCATTATTAAATAAAGAGAGGTACGTAACTTTGATCACACGTGAGCGCATTATAATAATGAAACGTA